AATTAAAAAACATAATTTTTGACTATATTACTTTTTTTTAAATTTTTGTATTTTTGGAAAAAGTTGAAATTTTTCATATACGAATGATATCAAAATCATAAAAAAGAAACTAAAAAATTGGTAATGATAAATATAATAATTTTATATCGTAGTTTTAAATAAATAATATTGACGGAAAATAAATTCATATACAAAAACAATAAAAATTTCACTGATCCCTTTCCATAAAATTTTTGATGCAAAAAGTGAGTCTCTGATTTAATTACATACATGATGATTACTAATCATCATTTTAAGTTAAAATTAACTAATTATTAGCTAAATTCATTTTTAAATAAAGTAATTAAAATTTAAGATGTGCCTGAAGTTCTGAATATTCAAATGAACAAAAAATTTGTTTACCACTTTGTTTTAACTTCAAATTTTATTATAAAATATTGGTTTCTCTATATCAAAAAATAAGTGGAAAACTTATTAAATTTTTAATGTACCTTTTTATTTTTATTGATGTAGTAAATTTAAAAAAAAAATTTATAAACCAAAAAAATTATTTTGTTCATTTGAACGTTTAGAACTTCAGGCCACATCTACTAATTAGTAAATAAATAATTAAATAATAAAATTAAAGCGGGGTCTGTATTCATTACACGGACGTAGAATTTTGATCGTGACAACGTCTTTTTTAATTAATTAAAATATATTTTATAAGATTTTTATTTATTATTTATTTTATACTTAAACACACTGAAAAAAAATCTATTTGAATCAAATACTTGACTATTATCAAATAAATATTTACTTGAACTAAATAATTTTTATTTGAATTAATTAAATTGTATTTAAACCAATTGTTTTTATATTTGAAACAAATACTATTTAATTGACTCAAATAATAATAACAATAATAATAATAATAATAATAATAATTATTATTATTATTAATTATGAGTAAGACGTTATCACGTCAAAAAAAATACAACTATATTTTTTGTAATAAAATTTTTCCAATAAATTAAAATATTTACCTTAATAACGAATTTTCAGCTTCAAGGAGATTTTTTCAAACTAAATAGCCTTCGGAGATCCCTACTTTCAAGTTAAATTTTCATTCAGAAAATGTGAAAAATAACCGTAAAATGTCCCTCTATGTCAAAAATATTTTTTTATGCAAATTATTATTTTTTATCTCCAAATTTTTTTGCAACGTTTCTTGATCAATAAATTTTTGAAAAAAAATTTATGGGCAAAAAATTAGTTATTATTTTTTGAGTGAGAAATATATTTTTTTTCAATCGTTGATCATAAACGTTGTAAACTTCAAAGGCATATATATATATATATATATATGCTTCGCGCGCCAACCCCCATTCTCTAAAATTTTTGAGACAAATTCTGAACGGTACGTGAATTGCATGGTAGGCGAGTACAGCGAATTCCAGCGTAGTGTCGAAATTTCCCCCCCCCCCCTCCCGCACCCTAAATTTAGAGGTTAAGATCGTTTCAAGACTCTGAATATAGCCGCAAGTCCCCCCTCCCTTCTCTTGACTTGCGGCTATATTCAGAGTCTTGGAACAGCGGCGGCGGCGTTGGCGGCGATATCTTTTTGTAATATAGGTAGATATATGTTATCTTAATATTCTAAAAATTAAATTGCCAAAATTAAAAAAAAATTAAAATATTGTTTCTTCATTGACAAAAAATTGTAATTTTCATGAAAATGAAACTTTTAATAGTTCAAAATGTTAAAAAATTAAATACACTCGTTTTTCTACTCTGTGTACTTTATTAAAAAAAAAAGGTATTTTCCAGTTTTAAGTAACCAAAAACAAATTACCTGTACGGTAGTATATGATTTTCATTATTTCATATAATATATTAAATCTTACATCAGTGTCAGAACACAAGATAAAAGATCTGCGTTGTTTCGTTTTTATAGTATATTATATGTATTATGGTAAAGAAAAATAAGACGTGAGAAATACTCGCTCGAAATAAAAAGACAAGGATCAACTAATAAAAAAAAATTTTTGCTTCTTTGGTATCTCACCGCTTTCAACTAATTTATGCGCATTTCACACGGCCTTCACTTTATAATTCGACTGAGGTTCAATTTCATGTAATTTATATTTTTCTGCAACTTTTTTTTTCTAGGTCAAAAGCATTCAAATCGATATATATATATATATATATATACTTATAGGTTTATTCGATGGTACATTTTTAATATATCGATTTCATTGATTATTTCTTCAATTAATTAAATTACAATTAATTAACTATATAACTTCAATTAATGATAATTGAATGTAACTTTAGTCGACAAGAGCCAATATTTGTTTTTATTATTTGTACTCCTGAACATATTTTTTTTAGTTGTTTCTGTAATTATTATATATTACTATTGATATAGTATATATTATTATTATATTATATATAAAATTTGAAATTTGTGATATTTGGATTTTATATTGAAAGCAAAAGGAAAAGTAAATTACAAGTGAGGAGGGGGGATACAAGTTTTTGGTGTCCTGAAAAAGAAATTTTCGAACTTGATTTGCCTTTTTAGGAAATCTGGGACGTAGACTGCGCATTTCGCTTCGAGATGAAAGAAAATTACTTCTGGCATAATAACATTGGAGTCAGAAAGCTTTTTTTTTTTTTTTTTAAAAAAATTCAAATTTAAAGAACTATTCTTCCCTTTTCTTACATTGTTTCTTATCTTTATTTCACTTCTATATTTGTTCGTGCTTTATCGTATGGGATATATACAATGACCTTATTTTTCAACTGTTAATTTTTTTTAAAAACTACATATAACTTTCTTTGTCGAATAAAACTTAATTATACAGAGAAAAAAAACTTGAACTCAATTTTGTTGCAGTTCAAAATGAGCCAATGCTAAACAACATAAAATGTGGCGCCACCTACGAGGCACATTTTTTATGCGTTTCAAATTTAGTAGCATAGTCCACTCATTTTGAGCTTAGTTTTTTTTTCTGTGTATTTATTAGGTACACGTAGAAAGGAAACGTTTTTTTTTTATTAAAAATATTTCTTTTCTATATTCATAATCAAAAAGTTATTATACTAATAATAATAATAATAATAATAATAATATAATAATAATAAATTGTAAATTGTATAAATATACAATATATATTATTTAAAAAATTTGTTTTATAAGAATTATATATTTTTGTTAAAAAAAAATATTTCACAAGCAAAAAAAAAAGAAACAATCTTGGAATTTCTTTTATACTTACAAAAAATTGAAGTGTTTTAATTGAAATTAATTTAGAAGGAGCGTATATGCATAAAAATAGTTTGCGCACGCTTTATTAATAACTCAATGGTATTGTTTCATTTTTATGAAGACATTGATCTCCGACATTTTGAGATGAAAGGCATATAATGTGCATATTTTTCAAAGTCAAATTATGGAAGATATATGGCTAGTGGCCAAATTCTAATTTTAATATATATTTGAAAATAGGAAAATAATGAAAATGTCTGCAAATAAGATATTGGTCCTTTCGTGTAATAGCTATTCTACATTCTTAGAAAATTTAAACATAACGTGGAATAAATTATTTTCATTTTTCAATTATTATATATAAATATATATTATAGTGTTGCAAAAATTGTTTTTATTTTTCTCAACATGCTTTTTTTTACTTTTTTGAAAACTTTTAACATTTACTTGTTGAGAGCCAAAAAAAAACCTTCAAGTTCAAAGGGGAAATTATTTACCTATATATTATTAAAAAATAATGCTGTTGGTTTTTTGGACTGGAGAATATTTTTAATTTAATATTTTCTTAGTTTATTTTATAAGTCAAATTTATTTTTGAGTTTCAATATTTTTTTCAAAAATGTATATTACCAATCGAAAGAGCATCAAAAAAGCTTTCGAAACCGATATTGATGAAAAAAAATTTTATTCTGATATTTAAGGAAAAAAAATTATTAAAACATGCGATGTACCATTTTTTTACCTTGATCACTTCACCTATGGGAATAAATATTTGATTCACTTTTTTTATTGCATTAGTAATTTTTAAGAATAGGTATTTATAGACCGAAAATTAGAATTCGTTCATTTGAACGATCAGAACTTCATTAGGTAGTTGAACTTCACACAATGTTTTCTTAAATATTAAAAAAATATTTCTAAATTATAAACTAAACGAAATTCAAAATTTTTTTTAAAAATTACAAAATAAAATATTGATATAAATAGAAACGTCTTGTTGACAAAATGCAAAAATTCTATATAATTTCTAAAAAAAACACGATATTTTTTTTATGCAAATTTTTTCGTAAAATAAAAAAAAATCAAATTAAATTCGAAAACAAAACAATTTTAATATTTTTGAATAGATCTTAAATATAAAAATCACCCATTAGCATACATATATACTAATAAATAATATCAAAATAAGGACAAGTGCGAGTATTTCAACTTTGGCACTTGAGGAAACGGGATGTCTGTCTTATATAGTGCTACAGAGATTTCTGAGAGAATTAATGGACCGTGATACATTACTGAGAGCAACACATAACGTAAGACTTTGCGTTGGAGAAACGCGCCACGCGGAATTAGGCCGCCCACGCTTTATTCCGATGTGCAAGAGACGCGTTCCCGTCGAAGAAGTATGATAAAAATTTTCTGGCCAGATGGGCAACAGTTGCGTAAGAATCGTATATATACAAGAGTTGTGGTTCATGCCAGAACAACAACGGAATATAACATATTAGTGTGTACCACCTACATTTACATCGAAAAAAAACAACGTAACATTTTAAATCGCAACAAAATACTATATTTTTAATGAACATTTTTTTTTTTTGAAACCAAAATACCAGAAAAATAATTTTTTAAATTTAAACAATTAAATGACACTGGCATTTTTCTTTTTCATAAAATAATATAAATTTATTTTAAATAATGTTTATAATAAATAAATCATAAATTAAGGGGTTATGATACTCTGGAGACCGAAAAAATAGGTGTTTTTTGTGATTGTTTTTTTAAAGAAACTATGAAGCCAATCAAAATTATGATTTGAGGACTTTATTGTACATTTATCGAAGTGTAAAAAAAAAATAATTATTATTAAATTTCATGGTGTTTTGCAGGCGCTGCAGCCGATTTTCGTAAACTCATTCTTGGCGGAAAAGCTCCGCGGCCGCACCAACCATTCCTGTAAATTTTGAAATATAATTATCAAAATTGTTTCTTATTCCTTATTACGAATGAACTATGCAATTAAAAAAAATCCTATGCTTTTCTTTAAACAATATATTATTAAAGATGTGTGAAATATTTGAACTTAATCGGTTGGAAATTGTAAGAGTTATTGGTGCGGCCAACTCGAAAAATGTAGTTTTGAGATAATCGCGTTTAAAGTTTTAAAAAAGCATACATAATTTTTAAATACCTTTAATCTGCAATACCTACACCATATAATTGGCCTTTCTGATTCTGCCGTACTAAGGAAGAATTTAGGTAAGCGCCATTTCAGTCAAACTGTGAAAATCAAGAAAAACTGTTTGCATTAAGAACCCTATAATATAAACTAAAAAATTTGTTTAATTTAACTTCACATACTGAGTAAAGTGATAGTGCCCTATTTAAATATGTAATAAAAAGTTCATTATTTAAACAAATTATATGAAAAAATGGACATACGTGTTTTTCTGAAAACAAATACGAAATACGAGCTAGGATCGCTGATCAGATGAAAGAATAGCGTAAGCCCCAATGACTTCACGCGATAGGGTAGCAGTTTTTACATATATTGAATGGCGCTTACGTGGTGGGCTCGACTCACTTTTTGATCGAAGAACTTAGGTTTATCCAAGCAAAGCAAATCCGTGGTTTTTTATGTCGTAACCAGCGTTCAGCTTCGATCACGTTTTTGATAGAAAAATCACGCGAGTGACTTTGGCGTAGTTTTTCTTACTTATATCTTATACTCGAGCTCGAAGCTTCGCACGATTTTTAGACTACGTAAGGTACTTTCCTTAAGTTTTTGTCAAGTATTCTTTCATTTTCTGGAGTTTCTAAGATTTTTAATAACAATTTTTTACAACAAATAATTTTTTTAAATAATTTAAACTACAACTATCAGATGCAGCTTTTTTTAACGAATCCATTGATACCAAAAACTCTCTTTTCGTCAAAATATTGCTTACCTAAGTTTTTTCTTAATACGGCACGATTAATTTAATTTAATAGTTTTATGTAAAAACCAGCTACTCCCGAATAACTTTAATTTTAAACCAAAGTAATTAATATTGTCTAATTATTTTTTCGTTTTCGTTTTAAAAACGTTGCGGACTTCAGCATGATCATAATCTTTCACTATGTTACTTTTGAGACCACAAGGTACCATTTAAGGCAAAAAAATCGATTTTTTGAAAATCCTCGAATGTCATAACCCCTTAACATAATAAGAAAATAGCATGTAAATTTTATTTTTAAAAAATTCGTTTTTTACATTTTAACTAAGGCGACCAAGTGATAAATTCAATTATTTATTTAAATTTTATTAAATTTACTACACTGAGAAAAATAATTTCGTAATAATAAGAAAATAATTTAGTTGAGCTTTTTTAGTTGGCGTTACTAAAATATGGTTGTCACAACAGAATAGAAAGTGGCAATAAATCGGGAAGTTTAGTTGGCTCTACCAAAAAATATATTTGAAGCTTTCATGTTTACGAACTAAATAGTTTGGTTCCCAGTACTAAATATCTGACATGCTGTATTGCGCACGCGCTCTTCTCGTAAATATGGCGTCGCTTCCCATTCACGGGATGTCAACATTAACCACATTTTTTAAAAAAAAAAGTTTGTGTAGTGAAAATAAATAAATAAAACTTGTTACAAGAACGAAAGTTTTTTTCCAGCTTTTATACATTGTGAAAATGATTTAATCTCAAATTGTTAGTAGGATTCGTAGAGTACTGGTCAGCGTTCTCGACTAGCGTTGCGTAGTCTGAGGGTTCGAGCCCCAGCAGTGTTAGGTTTTTTCCGCGATAGAAATTAATTTAAGTAGGCATAGGTAGGTTATATAAAGAGAAAAGGGTGAAACAAAAAAATAAGTTGGTTGAGAAAACAAAAAAAAAATTTTCATTTAACTAAATTTTTTGTTTGCTTAAAAACAATAAGTTAGTTGTGCAAAACAAAAAATTTGGTAGACCGAACAAAATGATTCAACGAAAAAATTTAGTAGCCCGAACCAAACGGATTAGTTGCACATATATCAAATAAAAAATTTGGTAGAGAGAACCAAACTTTGGTAGATGATACTAAACATTTTTCTCAGTGTATTATTTCTTTAGAAACGAAATTTTTACTTCTTGTAAATTTTTTTTGTTAGAGGTAATTATTGAATATAATTTCAAACATAAAGTTTCAAAAAAAAAACTTCTGCGAATTATTTTTTCAATTTTGCGTGTATAATAATTTAAAAAAAAACACAGAAACAATTGATTAATGCTCGTGTTGAAAAAATTGTTTTCGATGATTATGTATCTATGTGTTTGCCTCGTAAAATGTATTTAATAAAACGTATATTCGGTCAATCGAATTCCCGAGGTCGATTACTTAATAGAAAATACATAAAAAGTCGAGAATCTGCATTTTTCATAATTTATTATCGATACTTGCAAACCAAGATTCACTGACTAAGCTGGTTGGCCTCTAACATCACTAAAGAAAGTGTCATTAGTAAAACATGTTTTAGTTATTTACAAAATAGAAATTCTTTTTAAAATTAAAATATTATTGTACAAATTAAAAAAAAAACACTAAAATTTAAACACAAAATCCAAATTTTTAATTAAGGCATAAATAGGAGTAAATTGATAAAATCGGGGGGAAAAAGGTTCTTGCAAAATTTCTCTTCCTATTATATTAATAATTTTGTCCTACTTTATCCAAGTTTCTTTTTAATAATAAAAAATAACAACTATTTTTATAATTTAAAACTATTATTTTTTACGAATATTATATTTATATTAATATATCGAGAGATATAATAATGTACAGCATAAACAAAGTATAATAATTTGATTTCGTTGCAAAAAAAGTTAATTTTTGTTATAGCTTTGACTTCACTTAAAGACTCCGTATCTCGTGATAAGTTTTCCAGATAGGCTCTACTTGTATTTCACGACGCGCAGTATACAGAAAAAAAATATTTTGCATTTTCAAACTCAAGTTTGTATTTTAATTTCTCTCATTAACATAAGAATTTTTAAATTAACCTATTTTTTTAAATTTCAATTAAAGTAAAAGTTGCATTAAATTGTTTAAAGACATATATAAAATTCATTGTTCGTTGATGATTGTATAATCTTAAACTTGAAAAAATGGGAACTTATATGATAAAATTATATTTTCAAGATATAAGAAGGATTATCTGCGAAATACGCAATATGCAGCCGTTTCAAACGTAAATTAAAATTTTATAGTTTTCTATTTATATATATATAAAAGCTATGTGTGTGTGTGTGTAACATGCAAAAAAAACAATGTAAATGTGAAACACCTGTTTTAAAAATAAAAAAATATTATATTATTATTTAGAGTGTCCGCACCAAATTTTTTTTCATAATAACTAAATAATCATTAATTAAATTTAAAAAGGGAAAACAATTTTTATAGCTGTTTTATTTTTATACTGCATTTTATTTAGTTCAAATAAAAAATCTATATATACGCCATATAAAATTTTAATTTAAAACAAATAAATATAATAAATCGTTATTTAGCTCTGGTAATTTGAGATGGTATTTATTTCAAATAAAGAAAATATTGGTCCAAATAAAGTTTATTTAATGCAAATAAAAATTATTTCATACAAGTAAATTATTTGCTTATAATTTTAAATATCATTTAACCATATAGTAGACTATATAAAACCAACTGAGGAACATCCTCGGCTGAAATATATGGGTCAGTGGGTATGTTGTTCGCTATATAAAAGCATATATATAACCCTTTGTCGCGAGAGACTCTGATGGGCTAAACCCAAAGAATGTGCTGAGAGTTTTAGAAACACACACAAACACACATACATTAATATATTGTACATGTGGAGGCCAAAATACCGGCTGAGGAAATCAAAGTCAACATGTGGTTATAATCGCGTAGGAAGTTCGTTTTTAAAACAAAGACTCTCTGTGTGGAAACGAGTATTTTATATATATATATATATATACTTACAAAAAAAATTAAATATATAACTGGCTAAACTTACGTATAGGCTTTTTCTAAATCAACCATTTTTTTATATTAAATAAAAATTTTTTTAAAAATATTTCTTATATTTATATACAGGGTGATCAAAATGTACCAGACTCATCTAAAAAAAACTTTTCTAAATTTTGTTTAAAAACAAAAAAAGTTGGTTTAGGAAAAAATTTTCTTTTGAGAGTATGGTACATTTTGATCACCCTGTATATTTATATTGTCCCATTTTTAATTTTTAGTTTCGTTTATAAAAAGTTTTTATTTATTTCTATAAATTTTATTTTTAAATTTTTTGTTCTGTATAATGCAACCAGTGGAATTAAAAAAAAATAAAAAAATACACGAATTCAGAGTAGGTGTGCCTGCAAGGGCACATTAGGATATCAACACGAAAACGAGGAAGATGTGATAAAATTCTTATGTAATATTCTCTTTTTTCATAAGCAACTCTGTCAATTTGGAAAATAGTGAAAAAAAAATTTCAAAATTGATAAATAAAATATTTTTCTCTTTTTTGTATAGAAAGAACAGTAAAATTTCCATTAAAAAAGGCGTAAAATTCATATTATAGGGTAGAGTGGGTTGAAGCAGATTGCTTATAGAGAATTTTAGTATATTTTTTTTACATTTGATTTTTAATGAGGCGTAAAGTAAAATAATCAGCTTCTTATTATTAAAACTTATCGGAAAATACGCATAAATAAATACTGAAACTTATTGTACAAGGATTCGGTAGCAGAAAATACATAACAAAAAATTGGGACGCATGATTATGTTCTAAAAATCATTAGTCAGAATATTCATTTTATGGAATTTCATTTGCCATAATTATTTTTAAGTAGAATTTTTATTTATTCGAATTAGTATTTTGCAGAATTTTCATCAAACCAATTTTCTATATTACAGAATTTTTATTTGTTCGAATTTTTATTTGCTTGAATTTTCATTTAACATAATAGGCATTTTAAAGAATTTTTATTGGGTAGAATTTCATTGCATAGAATTTTCATTTGTTCGAATTATTATATGATATAATTTCCATATAACCGATTTTTCATACTACAGAATTTTTAATTAACCGAAAAATTATATAATAGAATTTCTAATTGATATAGAATTTTCATTTGTCCGAAATTGCAAATGGCCGAACAAATGAAAATTCTATATCAATTAGAAATTCTATTAAATGATTTTTCGGTTAATTAAAAATTCTGTAGTATGAAAAATCGGTTATATGGAAATTATATCAAATAATAATTCGAACAAATGAAAATTCATGTGAAAGAAAATTCTCTGCAATAAATTTTTTTTAAAATGCCTATTATGTTAAATGAAAATTCTGACAAATAAAAATTCTGTGAAGTGAATTTTTGGTTATTATAAAAAAATTCAGTAATATAGAAAAACGGTTTGATAAAAATTCTGCAAAATACTAATTCGAAAAAATAAAAATTCGGTTCAAAAATAATTATAACAAATAAAATTCCATAAAATAAAAATTCTAACTAATGATTTTTAGAGCATAATCATGCGTTTAAAAAAATTGAGAATGTTTTTTAACCTCGGTTTTAACATACATATATATAACGCCCCATAAAGTTCTAGTTATAGTTCAAGGTTTTGTTCATGGGATTACTATTGAATGATTAGTAGGTGGGATTTCCCCTCCCCCCATTTATCTTTCACGTTATTTCACATATATTATATTCGAATGACAATGATATTTAAACCACAATTTTCTTTACGTTTTCTCCGTATGAATAAATTTATATATAAAATGAATTTAACGTCAATATATATTGACAATGATTGATGAATATAATCAATCTATAAAATTACTTGCGCGATGTTTCATATATTATTAATGCCATAAAGCATAATTGTCGAGATAATTTTTATTATTCCCTATATATATATATATGACCGATAAGTCTTTAATTATTTACTGATGGGAATTATATTGTCGATTATTCCCATTTCTCCAATAGATGAAAACAAGAAAAAAAATTTTAATGTAATAATAATTGTGTTTTGTAATAATTGATTAAATGTGTAATTTTTTTTAACGTTTGTCTCACGTGACCTTGTATTGTTATTTCAAACCATATTCCTTAGAGTTGATTCATTGTCATGATTTATTATTTTATTATTTTTATTAAGAATAATTATGATAATTTTTTCGATATAACGTAAAACTTAGGGAGATAATAATTAAATTCAAATTACGCTGCAATAGGTTATTTTTATATAAAAATTATTTTGTTTTATTTTTAAAAATATCACAAAACGCGTAGAAAATCTCTAAATCTAAATTAGTATCTATACTAATTTTTGATAAAACACTACACTGAAAAAAAATTTATTTGATTCAAATACTCGATTACTTGAGTATTATCAAATAAATATTTACTTGAACCAAATAATTTTTAATTGAATTAAATAAATTGTATTTGAACCAATAATTTTTGTGTTTGAAACAAATACCATATAATTTGACTTAAATAATAATTATTTGATACAAATATTATTTCTGCTGGAAAAGTGTGCAAAAGTGAAAACTTCGTAAGTCAGATTCTTTGATTAGTGTAACTCCGTATTTATTAATAACAATCGATAAATAAAATCTAATTCAACAGCGGAAATTAATGCAAACGCCTAATATGTATACAATAAAATATTCTATTTGCAGACCCAAGTTTAACAATACATTATTTACTAAGTTACTCATTTTTATTTAAATAAAATACATACAATATTAATATTATTACATTTAAAATAGAGTTTTTTAGAATTATATGAAGAATAAAATTAAGAAATAAATAAAAACAAAGATTTAGTTTAAAAATTGTTTTCTTCGAGATTTAGTTTCGGCAAAACTTTTTTGTCTATTGATTCAGCCTCCGCAGCTTCAATTGAAAGCAATGCTAAGTTACTTAGGCGATTTTGACTACAACTGTTTCTTAGATAGTTTTTAATTATTTTTAATTTCGAAAATGATCTCTCAGAGGATGCAACGGTTACAGGAAGTGTTAAAAATACTAGTAGAGCAGTTATTACCTCAGGAAAATTTGAAGCTAACGTATTATTCTCAATAATAAGAAAGTGTGCAAAACTGCACATTGTTAAATAGGTTATCCTTTCTGAAAAATGACAGTTCGAGATAATCGAATTCGATTATGTATCGAAATAAAATGCATGAAAATGTAGAATCTTAATAGAAGGGCGACCACAACTTTTAAATAATGTACAAAGGAACATCTGAAATGTTTCGGTCTGCTGATACACTATAATTTTTTTACTAATACGAATTTGTACTTTCTATATATATCATAAATGAGATTCTAAAATATAAATAATGAAATGATAACACGTGTATACCAGTAATGTATATATGTACTTACAAAGTGCTGGAAATGATAATAATTGTTGAACGTCATGTCACCAATAGAAGAATGATCTTAATAATTTTAACACATTAATGATGATTTCTTCAATTTAAACGAATGTACTTATTGACACTTATACAAAAATATTCGACAAAGTAGAAGCTACTTTTGAAGCTGTACGATGTTTAGTATTACCAATAATGAAAACTAGGAGCGCTTCCTTCGCGTCACGTGACGATTTAAAATTTCTAAAGGCGCTCTCCAACCTTTTTGGCTGCCAGCAGGTTGCCATGGCAACGCATGAGAGTGAGTGCGACAGAAAATTTAAAAATTTGAATATTCAAATTTTCTGTCTCACTCACACTCGTGCGTTGCCATGGTAACCTGCAGTCAGGCAGACAGCCAAAAAGATGTGAGTGCGCCGTAAATATTAAATATTTTAAATATATTTTAAAAAAAAATTTTAATTTCTTTAGAGGTCAATTTTTAAATTTAAAAAGGCATTTTTTAAAAATTAATTATTAAAATATATATTTTATTATCAAAATAAGCAAAAAAATTACTTTACTTTAAAATATTTTACGTTTATTTTAGACAAATAAAAATATATTTGTCTATCAGAGTCTCGTAATTTTTTATTTGTTTAAAAAAAACATTTATTTAAAGTGTATATTTAAAATAAATAAATATTTTTTTGGCTCAAATATATATCTTTTCTCTAAATATTTTTTAAAAAAAGAAAAGTAAAAATTGTAAAAACAAAAAATTATTTTGAGAAATTATTAAAATGAGGAAAAATTGAAATTTTTATATCGAAATTCAAAGAAAATAAAAAAAATTGCTGCTTTAATGTACCAATTTATATAAAAAATTGAATATTTTTTCAATTTTGTAATAACAAACATATATGCGTGTCAAGATAATGTAAAATAATATTCCTTGAAATATGTCAGTTTTATTATGCTTTTTCGAAATGCTCTATGTTGTCAAATAACTATTTTTGACAGACAATGACAAGCTTTTAGCCTGTCGTATATTCTTCGACCACCCGTAACATACATTTTATATATTTCGAAAGTTATACATACATTTTACAGGGACTCAATTTGCTATTTTTACTCCTGTGTTGACTTTTGCAAAAAAAAAAAATTAACTGTTAATAATTTTCATTTTCATTAAATTTTTCATCCAATAGAATAATATTTCTATTTAGTGTAAAATTTTTAAATATCAGAATTTTTATATGTATGTATATATTTTGAAATTGGAGAAACGATTTTAAAATCAAAAATTGTTTAGAAGAATTTATTAATATATATATGCAAATATGTAATAACTGTAACGCTCATTATAAATGAGAATGAAATTATATAGTTGATATAATAATATGCGTGAATATATTAAGCATATCTATTGCTGATCTATAATAAAATGTCTGATATTATGAGTTAAAAATAAAACTTTGTGCTTTTGTTTTCTTGCAGATTATAATTAAATGAAAAAGAATAACAATGTACAGTTTAAATGTGAATGTGAATCCTAGTCCTTCGGCTGCCGCGGGTCTACTTGGTGTCGCGGCGGCCGAGGTCACTCCAAGGACACCGGAAATTGTAAATTCCCTTATCGCCATGACGAATCCCTTTGAGAGTTACAATAACGAAAAAATCAGAGATCGAACTGATTCGACGAGCAGTGGCGAACCCAGTCCACCTAGTGTTCAACATACCTGTAGTCAGCTTATTAAAGAAGGTAAGATATTGCACACGCGAAAAATGATCTTCCAAATCAATAAAAAAAAAAAAAAAAAAAAAAAAAAAAAAAAAAAAAAAAAAAAAAAACTAATTTCCTTAACAGGAAAAGTTAATTTGTCTGATTTGCTGCAGAAAAATTTTTTCTTTAATTTTTTTTTAGACGCATTTAAATATTATAATGAAAAAAAATTTATTTTCATTCAAATAATCAATTACTTGACTATTATCAAATAATTATTATTTGAGTCAATTAAATCGTATTTATTTCAAATACAAAAATTAATTATCCAAATACAGTTTATTTAATTTAAATAAAAATTATTTAAATATTTATTTGATAATAGTCAAGTAACTGATTAATTTAATAAAATACATTTTTTTCAGTAGGGTCAGTCGGGGTAAATCCGAACGGGGGGTAAATCCGAACGCTAATTATTTCAGCTTAATTAAAATTTTTAAAAATAAGTTCGATATGAGAATTTTTACCTCAGATCCTCTTGAAGAGATTCTAAGTATTATCCCATTTTTTGTTTGTTAATTAGCAACAGCATAAACAAAGATAACAAGTATTGCAAAAAAGATTGAAAATCAAAGATGACACTCTTTCAGTATTTTGTCTCGTATTTGAAGAAAAAGAAGCTAAAAATTCATTTTATTATTTATAATTGTTTGTTATGAATACTAGAACAGAAACTATATTTGATTTTTGCCTTCTGTAAAATTTTATTAATAATATCAGACCGTTCGTATTTACCCAAGAAAATTGGAAAACTGGGGTAAATCCGAACGGTATTTTTAATAATTTTTTTTTACATCAGAGCCACACAAAATTGTTTTTTTTTATTATACTATTATTTTAACATTATAAAAGTACATAGAAAAAAGTTTTTCTTTCTATATGTATCCTCGTTAGTAATTAATAAGCAGAAACCTAATCTCTATTCTCTCGAAGGAGTGTTTCAATTTTTTTGCCAAATGGTTTGTTGAAAAAAGTTTTTCAGGATCTTAATAAAATTTGGTATTCTACGGTTTTTGGGGTCGCTAATTACCAATTTGAAGTCAGTTTTTCAAAATTCAAAATGGCGGACGAGAATTAAAAAATTCATTGGATTCGCTCGAAAATTGTTACTCGGGGGGTTTCAGGGTTAGCAAATTTGATCATTTTTAAAAATAAGTTTTAGGAATGTCCGCCATTTTGAATTTAAAAAATTTGAGTTTTATTTTTGTATTTACATTCAATCACTCCAAAATACTTTCTGTACCAAGTTTTGCAAAAATCCGTTATGATTTGATAAAGTTATTGAAGGTTTTAATTGTGTAATGCATTTTAATTTTTAACCTGTTTGATTTTTGTATTTATATATGATGCATTATTACATAATAGGTTTATTATCGTATTTTTTTTGAGTTTTTATATAAGTTTAACAATTGCAATACTTTAAATTTATTTTCCCTAAGATTTTTCTGAAATACAGTGGCGTTCGTATTTACCCCCATATTTTAGGAAAGTTGCAAAGTATCGAGGTAAATACGAACGCTAAGTTTCCTGCGATTGTAATTTATCAAAAATTTTTTCTACCCCATAAAATTGTTCTATGGAAGTAAAGTAACAACTTCATGCACCAGAATACCGGAAGTATTTTTTTTTTAAAGAAAAAACTTATGTTATTGTTGAAACTTACTAAAAGCGTTCGGATTTACCCCGGTTGACCCTATATTACTAAAATTGATTTCCAGTGATTCAAATTTTTACCAGAAAAGAATTTTAATTTAAGGGAAAAATTTTATTTACAACAGAATATTATATTATCGAATTTAAAAAAAAAATCGATTTGTTGCAATTTTTACAAGAATAAATAAATTTCCTTTTAAAAAAAGTGGTACACTCCGAGCTTTGAATTTATGTAAATAAAAATGTATTTTATCACAAAATCAAAATTCAATTGATACAAAAGAAGAATTTTTTGAATGTAAACAAATTTTGCTATACATATATATACATATGCGTAATAAAGATTCAAAAGATTACTTCTGAATGAAGAAGAATAAAAAGTGGGAGATCATCGCAAAATTAACATATTTATTTATAGTGGCATCTAAAAATAGTTGGACCTGTTTAACATGAAGCTGCATAATTTTTCAGGATTAAAGCTGACTCTTCAAACAAAAAGAAGAGCACATGGTAGTGGCGATGAAAGCAAGAAAAAGACGAGAAAAGAAGATGGAAGTGCAGACGACGAAGAAGATGACGACTCCAATCCCAATAATCATTCTGTAGGAGTAGGACGTTAATATTTTCAAATTTGCAAAAAAAAAAAACATCATGAAAGGAAAATTTGCTCTTTTTCATTTTGTTTTAAAAACAAAATTTTCTCTAATTCACAAAGAAAAATTTTCTCGATACGTGGTTGCAATTTTATTGATAATATATATATATAAAAAAATGTATTTTTGATTTAAAGAATCAAAATTTTGCTAAATGAAAATTTGTTTAAATAAAAATCGTTTTTAGTAAAAATTTGGCAAAATAACATTTTTGTTATACAGGGTGTCTACTAGTCCTGGAAGTCCTGGAATTTGAAAAAATGTCCTGGAATTTGAATTTTTGTCCTTGAATTTTTTATATTTTGCTTTTAAATTTTCAAAAATTTCTAATTTTGTCAATCAAGTTAAAAAAAAATTCATTAAATAAGTAAAATGAAAATTTACTTAAGTAATTAATTAATTTTTTTAATAATTTCTAAAAACAATAGTTAAACTAAAAAATTTTTTATTCCTTAAAGTGTTTAATGTCCTGGAAAAATAAGAAATTTGTCCTGGAAAGTCCTGGAATTTTAATTCAGATTTTTAGTAGACACCCTGGTTATATGGATATTCGGTTATTTTAAAGATTTTATTTTTTTAGCAATAATAAATTCTTAATAAAAATTCTTCGTTATGAAAATTGGTTTAAATAAATATAAATAAAAAAAAATATAATTATAAATTATTTTATATTAGATACTTTTAAAAAGAATTTATTTTCTTTTCATCAAAAAATTAACTTTTTTGCAAAAGAAACTTTTGTTATAAAAACTAAATAAGAAAAGCAAAGAGATTATTTTTCATTTCCAATTAATGTAATAAATTTCAAGAAATTCAATAATACTTAAAAATTAAAAAATTTACATTTATAATGTATTTAGAATGAAAAATTTTCATTTCAGTTGACTCCAGAGGATGAGGAAAGACGACGAAGAAGACGAGAACGTAACAAAATTGCCGCCACAAAATGTAGATTAAAAAAACGTGAAAAAACGGTAATTCTTGTTCAAGAATCTGAGATTCTTGAGACACAAAATCACGATTTAAAAACACAAATTCAAGAATTAGAAACACAACGAAGAAGACTTGTCGATATGTTGAGTTTACATACGCCAACGTGTGTAAAACATGGTGGTTCTAGTGACACTTCCTATCAACAATATGCCGAGCCACTTCCTCCATTACCTAGTTATCAAGAAAATTTTTTATCACCAACTCTCAATCAAACGCAAAATTGCGTCACGGATTATCCAGTTAAAGTTGAAAATTTCGATAGTACAACATCGGATTATTATCGGCAAAATAGTCCTTATATACCAACATCGGATTCAAGTTGCACTGTCTAGTCGAGGAGCCGTTAATTTTTTTTTTTTTTTTTTTTTATAATAATTATTATTAATATTATTATCGGAGAGTCGTGGACTTTTGGATACAACGTGAATTTTCCAAGAAAGACACATGCCGTCACATCCACTTCCAAATATTACAAAAAATAACAATATTTGGCATAAGATATACAGTATTTATTTCTAAATTTAATCGCTAGCTTTATTATCTAATTGAATAGGAATAATATTTCTTCTCGAATTGTATTTTTTTTATATATACCTATATAGAACTTCCATATATGTAAAGGGCAATTAAAAATTTTTATTTGTTCTTTACTCTTTGTTTAGAAGGGAAATTAGGATTGCCAAAAAGAGTGGCGCAAATTTTGAAAATAAATCACCACAAGTCAACAAAAAAAAATTATCAAAAATAAAAAAAAAATTGTGGAAAAATTTAATTTCAGTTAAATTTTGGCGAATGTTATGGTAAAAAATATATATACATAAATTTAGATCATGTAAATGATATATAAAGTTGATAAAATGCCAAAAAGAAAATTGCTATATATATATTAATCGTCAATGTTGGCAATCCTTAACTCAATGGATCAGATATTTTTATAAATAGTCTCTTTTTAAAGTACGTTTCTGACCATTAAAGTCACTTTAAATTTTTTCTAGTTTTATATAATAAAAAAAATGTAATTACTCACGTTTTATTGTTATAAAAAAAATGTGGATTCCATTTTTTGCTAGTTATCGGATAGAAGTATTGGGAATCCCTCCTTTTCTTATTAATAAAAATAGATTAAAATACCTGAATAAATTTTCTTTGAAAGTTTTTTTAAAATAAAAATTAAATCAAATGAAATATAAATTAAAAAATATACATGAAAATCAAAAATATAATTTCTTGAAAATAGAAAAAATTATTTATAATGAAAATCTTGTTTTAATACCACAGGCTAAAAAATTGTTTATTGAATTTCAAGAAATGTTTTTTCAAACATTTATTATCAAAAATTCTGTTTTAATCAAAGAAACAATATTTTTAAAACAAAGAAGCAATTTTTTGAATTAAACAGTTATTTTGTCTGAAAGAAAATAATTTTTGAAACTTAAAAATTATTATATCCTCCTGTGTATTTGACTTACTTTTTTCTCAGTGAGTACATTGAATTTTTTATTGAATAATTTCGAAATTTAAATTATTTAACAATTTAATGAAAATCATTTTTCAAATTTAAGACAATTTTTGAATGGTCTCTTTACTGAGCTTCCGAGAATGAAAATTAAATTATTATTAGTTCCTATATATATAGTCGAACTGTAATAAAATACAGCAAAACGATTATAAGATAAATTTTCAGAATCTTTTGGGAAAGAACTGCGGGATACATTTTTAAATCAGTACTTAAAAATATCAAATTTTAATTTTAAAACAAAATTCATTAAAAAAAAAAAAAATTCTTTCTATTTAAATATAAACACTGTAAAAATGTTTATTTAGTTTTAATAATCGGTTACTTGATTATTAATTATCAAAAATAAATATTTATTTGAATTTAATAATTTTTATTTATATCAAATAAAAATTTCGAACCAATAATTTATTTTCTATTTGAAATAAATACCATTAAATTGATTCAAACGATAATTTGATACAAATAAATATTTATTTCACAAATAAATCTAGTCAAATAACTGATTATAAAAATCAAATAATTTTTTCTTCAGTGATCACAATTTTATTGAAAATTGAAATTGATAAAATAATTATGTTCTCTAAAATGAAAAATCATTATTTATATTTTTTAACTATTTTCGGAGGTTTTATAAATTTTTATTTTTATTATTCGAATAATTATGAGTGGACTATTTTTTTTTTTAAATGAAGATAAGAGATTATGCATTCCAAGTGAAAAGCAGAGAAAAGGAAGTCTGAAGTGCTGAAAATTAACAAAAAAAATAGTGGAAATTTTTTTTTTTATAGTTTACCTAAAAACAGAAATTTTTCTAAAAAAAAAAAAAATTATTCCAAATTGCTATAATTTAAATTGTATATTATGTACTTTTTTCCGATTTCATTTTTTTTCATACTATTCAAGTATCCAGCACTCTTTTCCGTAGAATAAGTTTTAATAATTATTAAGTCGCCCAGTGTATTTTATTAACAAACTTTTCTTCTTCCGTCTTTCGTAATAATTTTCTTGTACTTTCAATTTATTGAAACGTTCGAGGCGAACGTTACAAAAACATTCCTTCGTATACTAATAATACTACTGTGACATTCTTTAAGGCCTCATTTTTTTTTTTTTTTTAAATAACTACGCTTGTATAGAAAATTCTTAGGACAATGTAAGAAACGCGTTTTTTGTGATATTCCATAAAGTGATGATACTAAGTTCAAGATATTTTTTTCTTCTCAAGAAAAATTCAAATAGGGATTTTTAATAACAAAATTTTTCCTGTAAATGTTAAATGTAATTTTTTTTTAAACAAATATTTTAAAATCTAGTTTTTCAATGATAAATTTATTTATTTTTTTTTTTTAAATAAATGAACTGATCAGTTTAAAAGGTTTAATATCAAAAATAAATAACTTATTTGTTACAGTAAATATCACAAAATTCGCAGTGATATTTAAAAAGAAAAAAAAAGAAAAAAAAATGTGAAATAGATTTTATCATTACTCTGGTAATTGCAGGACATTACTTAAGAGTATAAACATGCGTGTAGTTTTTCAACTTTTGAAATCACACAAAAAGAGCCAGTGTATCAGGATGTTCTGTTTGATATTGATTACTATATGTATAATTACTATTATTATTAATTATGTATAAATCGCCAACAAGCGTTCAGAGGATACTTATAATTATACAATTTTACTGATATTTAATAATGTTATATATACGTATGCATATTTTATACTACACACAACCGCATATTGCTGTTAATGACTAATGAACTTTTAATTCTTTCTATATCACGTTTATATTTACATATAAATATAAATATATATTTTTTATTACATTTTAATACTCGCGAAAAATTGTAAAATTTATTTATTCAATTTTTTATGCGTTATTGAGAAAAAAAATTTAATTTTTTTTTAATGACAAATTAATTATAAATAATGAATTGAATATATATGTAATTTATTAATTCAATATAAATAATTAATTTAATTTTAATACATTAAATTATTAGCGCAAACATGATTTTTGTATATATGGTTCTTATCCTGAGTGTGCACTCGAACTTACAAAATTGTCTTCCAATATTGTTATTAAAAAAAATTACAAAATTAATTATATAGTAATTCTAAAGTTACTATAGATAAAAAAAAATCAATAGTAATTTTTTTTCTCAGTACAATCGCTAATTTATATATGACAATTTATTTTTATAAAATGTGAAATAGAAAGAGTTGAGAGAATTATTTTTTAATGTTATTTAAGAGAGTAAGTAAACCATGTGCCTCTAACGACATACCTCAATAATTTTGTGGTTAGTTACCTATATATATAAATTCAAATTACTCTTGCTATATAAAAAAAATTATTCAATTTAATTTCACAAAAATAGTATAATTCCATTTTACATATAAATAAAATTATATTTTCTAATTTAAAAAAAAAAATTTGTTAATAAATAATAATTGTATTTATTTAATTTAAAAAAGAATTTTATTTGTAATTAAACAAAATTCTCTTAATGAACACTTGACAATGAATTATTTATAATCAATTATAATCGATTCAAAAATTAATTAAACGATTATTATTAATTGAAGAAGAAAGATTAAACACATAATTGCAAGAGTATTTTGAATAATTAAATATAACATTCGCAGGATTAATTAACTCTTCAGTTAATTTATTTCTCGTGAATATTTTTAAAGTAGCGTTTCTTTTATCTGTAATTCAGACTGTTTTGAAAAATAATTTTTATTTTTTAATCGAGAAATGTACAAAATCATGTCTGAAGCATCCACCAAGAGATTTAAGGGACGTTTGTATATTAAAAATTTTATGCTTTTTAGCTTTAAATCCTGCCGCTGTCGTATTCAAAATTAAGTTATAATATATATTATTGCTTCGTTGAATTTAGTTTGTAAGAAATAACTGCCACGACAGAATATTTGTTAATGCAAATAGTCAAAAGTGAATATGTACTATTTTTTTTTTTTTTTTTTTTTTTTTTTTTAATATTTCATTTCATTTTTGACTGTTATGTTTCTCTCTTTTAATACGCAAAGAAATTTTACGGAGCATATTTAATTATTTTTTTTTACACTCTGTACCAATGAACTTTAAAAAGAAGCATAAAAATGTTCTTCAATTTTAGAATGAAAAATTCCATTTTTTGTAAAACAATTAATTTCTTAAATAAATGTGCCTCTAATATTATTTCACTATTGTATTTATAATAAATGGATTTGAAAAATTTTAAATTGTAACTATTTTGAAAAAAGAAAAAAAAATACAATAATAAATTAAATGAAGGAATATATAATGAGAAAAATTGTGTTATTTTTTTTAAACAATTCCTATTTTATTAAATTACGCACCATTTCAATATAAACTCGTTTTAATTCTTACATTTATCGCAATCAATTTCGAACATAATATTATCTAGTTATTTAAAGATATATATATACTTTTTTTTTCTTTTGCATAAATATGAGTAAGGAAAGAAACGCTCGTAGCGTCAATGGAAGGGAAGGAATAGGGGAAAGATGAGATGGAAAATTATTCTTAATAAGTCTTAACATTAAATAAATCTCCAGTGATTTTAAGATCCTCTGAAAAAGAAAAAGAATTATTTTCATTAAATTAAAAAGACAAGAAATAAAAATTAATTTTTAATTTAATAACAGAAAACGAAAATTATTATTAGAAAAAAATTTTAATAATTTAAAAATATGCAAATAATTTTACAAAAAATTTCATAAAAATTTAAATTTTGATTGTATAGAATTTAAAATATTTCCATCAAACAAAAAGTTTAACCGAGACAATCTTTGAGAACAAAATTTTAATCTTTTATAAATTGGATAAATTTTCATTAATCATTAAATTAAAAATTCATTAATAATTAAAGATTAATCACTGAAAAAAATATTTTGTTTCAAATACAAAACATTTTTGTTGATATTTGTTTAATCAAATTTTTTTAATTGATTCAACAAAATTTTCAAATTCAATTTTTAAGAAAGCAAATTATTTGTTTAAAATATACTGTTGCAAATTATGAATAGTATACAGTATTTTTAAAAGTAAACATTTTTTCAAAATAATTGTCAAAGTAAAAAAGAAATAAATAAATAAATAATTTAATTTAAATAAATTTAAATTAAATTAAATTTTAAATAAAAAAAATATTTTTCAATTTTTTTTATAAATTTTTATCATTTAATAATTTAGAGTAAACTTCAGTAATATAAGTACTTACACAATGATGTTATTGATTGGAATATGAATTAATTTAACGAAAAATCCTATGAAGCCCATTATACAAAATCCAATTGCTGTGGCGATAGCAATTTTCTGGAACTCTGTAAAAAGAGAGATATTAATTTTCTTGTCTAACAAAAATTGTTAATTAAAATTTTTTTTTAAAAATATACTTCGTTTCTTAAGATCTACATCTGCTACTAAATTATCTATTTTTTCCATCAAGACTTAATTGACAAAGTAACATTAATTGCAATTGAGAGAGAGCTTCAAACCCCTCAATTATGATTACAAATGTTTAAATGCCTATTTTCATGATCAATTTTTGAATTAAATAAGCAAATACCTTTTCTGTCGGGTTTAGTGCATCTTTTAACAAGACGAATACTGTCTTTGGCAAATTGCCTTCCAGGTTCGGTAAATTTCTTGATTTGATCCATTTTATTTTAGCTGACTGTAAGAAAATTCAATTACATTAAAAAATTATCAATTAAATCAATAAATGTCAGATTTTCATGCTAAATAACTGTAGACTGCAATAATTCGATAAAATTTTTTAAATAAACATGAAAAAAAGAATAAAAATAATAAATTTTGAAAATACCTACATTTATATGTTTAAAATACGCATTTTATAAAAGAAAAAAACACAATAAAAATAGTTGATTCAACTAAAACAATCATTGAATCTTACAGAATTGTGACAAAAACGATAATGATCAACTCTTCTTAAATTTCAATTTCCTTAACATCTGGCACACATTAAAAATTATTTTCGAGGTAAAACTAACTTTTCACTTGGATAAATGATGATTTTAATTTTTAACATACATCCAACAAATTATAAATTCCCCAAGAACCCAATTGTTTTATTGCAATTAACAAACATTCAATTGTTAAATATAAACAATACGCAACTCCGAAATATTTTCCGTTCAAATAAAAAGAATAAAAGAATAAATAAATAATTTTTAAATTAATAAAGAAAAATATTATTTTGAGGTCATAATTTTTATATCTGGAACGAATTTTCAAGATGTTCAAATGAGACTAAATTGTTTATTTTTATAAAATAATAATTGTAGATGAAAAACATTTAGAGGTTATAAATTAACGATATGAAGAATGCGTAGAATAATTAGATGAAAATTAATAAAAAAAAATAATCATATTTTTTTACTTACATATAAAGTTGGTTGTGTTCTTCAAGAAGATTGTCAGATTACTCACACGACTTTGTATGTTGTTTGACGACTAAAATTCCACTTTACTGTTTCCAAAGCATCTACGTGGACTCGTGTTGCACGAAACGTAACTTCCGGAATGGCGACGTTGCAAACGAACGAATGCGTTGACAACACTGCCACGTGTTTATTATTCATTCAATTTATATATTTATTATTTTACACACTATTTCATTAAGATTATTCTCTCAAATATCTAATAGTCATCAATTTATTTAATTATTATTCTAAACAAGCATCCTTTACTCATTAACAATTCAAATTTCAATGAGAAAATTATTGAATTTCTTTTTATTGATTTGGCAACACTGCACACAACAACTTTTTGACAGTTCTCAAGCGCGCGAAAATTTTGAAATTTACAATTTAAATTTATAAAATGAAATTATATTTGTTTTTTATTTGATAAAATTAATTAAATTTTCTAAACAAAAAAAGTGTTAAAATTTTTTTTCAAAATATTAAGAAAAAAAATTAAATGTTTTTTTGTAAAAAGAAAAGGTTTTATGGGACAAATTATTTAATATTTGTTATATGAAAATTACATAAAAATAAGATCATTCTTGATCTTAAAAGTAGGTCAAGAATTATGTTTCTGACGTCTTTTGATATATTTTGTGTTCCTCTCATAAATTAACAACTTAAAAAAAAATTGCATATTCTACTTGTTTGTCTGGTAGAGTGGAAATTTTTTTTAGAAAGTTCATTTTCCAATGACACTTTATGTAAAATAAATTTTTTAGGAATATTACAGTTTTAAATTTCAAGGTTATGTTGTTTTTCTAAAAAAAAAACCGGAAAAATTTAAAAAATTAAAATTTTTGAAATATAAAAATAATAATAATTATTTATTGTTTTTTCATACACTACAAAATGATATTGTCCTTTTTTTTCTTTCTGTATATTTTATACACATTTATAATTAAATTGAAAATAAATAATAAAATTATTACAAAATTAAAAATATGAAATATAGTCAATGTAGCTAATATATATATATTGGATTATTATAAATGTAATTAAATATAATATAATATTATATTAATATTATAATATATATTTTTTTATATATTAAAAAAAAAATTAATTTATTTATTACAATTAAATATATAATTAAAAATAGTTTTATTATTATTAAAAAATAATAATAGTTAATTGTTTGAAAGTAATTAGAGCAGAATTAGCGAATACTTTCTAATTACTTTTACTTTTATTTGCACCTCTTACATGCGCGAATCAGTTAACTATCTATTTAAAAAATTACGTTAATGCAAAGAAATAATAATAATAATAATAAAAAAATAAAAAATTCTTTAAAAATCTCTTGATACAAATTTTCTCAATCGATAAAAAAGTGTCCCTTTCTCGCCTTCTAAAAGCATCAAGTCTGGTTTATTATAGAGGTTCTTTCTTTGTGATTCTTTCTGGTCTTTCATTTATTGTGCGCTCAGCTATTCAACAATCAACATGATACGATTTATTTTTGTGGTGCTCCTCTTCTCCTTCGTGTCAAGCGACACTCTTCCACCAATAAATCGATGCGGTAAATAATCATTTTTAAATATATTTATCACTTAAAATCAATTGTTTTTTATATATTTAAATTGCTTTTTATTAAAAAAAAAAAAAAAAAAATGTTATGTGTTAAAATATATAATTTTTCTTTCAACATCTTAGACACATTTTGAATTATAGATAATTTCTAAAACTTTTTTTTTTATATTATTAAAAAAATATATTTAATTATTCATTAATATGTTATAATTTTCAAAGTTCACGCACCGAAATTTATTACTTGTACATTTTTTTTATTTATCCTTTGTATGATAGTTTTTTTCATGATATCATTCCATTGTAATATATATTGTTCTTTGTGCCTTAAATTCTTTCAATAATTTTTATAATGTATTGTATTCTTTTAATAATTTACATTTTATGATTGTTCTCATAATTTTATTTTTAAAAATTAGATTTTAAAATTTTTTAATTATTTAAATTCTACTGATTTTACTTGATTATTTTCTTATACAGTGAAATTTTTTTTATTTCATTTAAATAATCAAAATTTTGACTGTTATAAAATAAATATTTGACCAAAATAATTTTTACTTTAATTAAATAAACTATATTCGAACAAAAAAATTTTTGTATTTGAAACAAATACTATTTATCTGTAAATAAATAAAAAAAAAATAATAAAAATAAATTCAAATAATTATTTTATACAAATAAATATTTATTTAATAAAAGTCAAGTAGCCGATTAATTGAATTAATTTTTTAAAAAAATTTATGTGATATAGAATCAGTATTCTTGTAATTATTAATTATCCATAATTAAGGTGTGTTTCATTAAATTATGTTATCAAAGAATTTAAATTTAAAATTTCAATTATTAATGAATTTTATATGATTTATATTTATATAAAAATATTATATAATATAATAATATTTTTTTTAGTATTAATTTTATGCATTTCCTTGTAATAAAAATATATAATAGTGAGATATATTTCATGGTGACTATATAAAATAAAAAAAAAATCATAAATGAAAAAAAAGTTTCAATTTCTTAACTGACAATAACTTAAAGTGAATAATAATTTTATGCATGTAAGCATAATTTACGATTTATATTTGCTGAATGATGAAATCGTGAAACAAATATTTAATTTTTGTATACTATTTATTTTTTATATTTCTAAAAGAAATTGCAATATTCTCAGTAAATGATGAAAAACATGAATTATTATTAATTTATATTATTAGAATTCTTTTATTGTTATTAAAATTTATCTTACAAAGAACGCTTAATTTTAATTGTAAATCTCACAAAAGCCTTTTTATTTTAGAATGCAAATGTACTTTTTCTCTCACAATGACAAATGATAATTTACGAACGTTAGAGATACATTTAAAATATATTAATATACACATAGGAACTACAACTTTTTTCAAGACAATATCATATATAATGTAAAAATTTTTAGAAATAATTATAAATTCTTTCTGATCAAGGAGAAAATAATTAATATTTCAATCTAAGGTTAATTACATATTTTCTTGATGAATATAAAATTTTTTTATAAATTCTACATCTAGAGAATGTTTTTAATCAAAAAAAAAAAAAAAAAAAATTTAATAAAAATAAACTTATCTTATTCTCTTTTATTGTTTCAAATAAAATTTTTATTTGAAAATATTTTTTTGTTATCAGTCAAGTATATATTTTTCTCTATGTGTCGAAATGCGAAAAAAAACTCAATAAATTTTTGAATAAAAAATTTAAATTTGAAGAAATAAGTAAAAAAAAATCGTTTCTGAATTAAGAAATTAAATAAGATAAACGTCAATATATAGTGAATATATATATATTATGTTTGAATTCAAATTTAAATGTAAATTAAAAATTATTCATGGAATATTAATTAAAAAAAAGGTAATTTGAGATGTTGATAAAGGTCTATAATTCCCATTCAATTTCACAAAGAATTCAAGGCAAAAACAATTTTCATTGTTGCGTCACTAAAATGATAGAATATTTGTTACTAGTGATACGAAAATTAGATAGGAGTATCTCCTTTTCCGTCACTTTATCCTTAAATAATATTGACATTTTTATATATATTTGGTTTACTAATTACTGACATTAATCTTATCAGATGAAATACAGTCAAGATTTTTTTTTTTTTTTTTAAAAAAAGGTAGAAGTCTAAATATGAAAGGTCGATAGTAAGGACAAGATACATATAGAATTCTTAGACGGCGTTGAGTTGGACCCTGACCATTGAAAAAAAAAAAATGTATAAAATTTCAATATTCCAAGTTATACTCAATATATACTCTCACAGAAAATTAAATTCTTCAATATTTTTCCTCTTCCTGAAATACTTTGTTTTTAACATAAAACGCAAATGAATAAAAAATTAAATTAAAGGTGACTTGTTTATTAAAATAGTAAAATGATTCGTAATATTTTGTTTTTTTTTTGTGTTTTTCTTTGTAACAAAAAAGAATGAGAAGGAAAAATTAATTATATTTATGTCTTTTGCATTAAAATAGTAAAATTTAATTATAAATGAAATGTAAACTTCAAATATTAAAATTTTATATACAATACAAGAAAAATTTTTAACTTAAAAAAAAAGATGTTACTTAATAAAACAATAAATATGACTTAATAAATTTTCAAACGATTCTTTTTTTATATTTAGATTCTCCAGGTGGACGCGCCATTAACACAACAATAAATAATAGTAAAGCTATGGGTGGGAAATACATTCTGAAAAGAGGAAAAGAAGTTGGAATTGATATTGAATTAGAAGTTTGTAAGTTGAATGAAAATTAATTCTTTTAATAAAAAAAAAAAAAAAAAAAAAAAAAAATTTCTTTATTTTTAAAAAATGAAATAAAATCTTTTTTATCGCATTGTATTTGAACAATTCTGATATTTCAGATTTACGCATAAAAACATTTTATCAAAAAATTTTCTACCAGTTTTTTTTCTAAAATAAATATTTAAGTGAAAAATGTCCTTTTTTAAAGAAAAAAGTATTTTGCATTTTTTAATTATAAAGTTTCAAATTATCATAAATTAACAGTTGTTTATCAAGCATTTTTTGTTGAGATTTTTTGTATGGATATTTCAGCGTGAATATGACTCAAAATATTAATAAATATAAATCTTGTCTTTTTTATATTGAATTTGTTAAAAAAAAATTTCTAGGTATCATTGTTGTTGTTTGTTATTACATTGTTAATAATAAACTAATAATTATTATTATGTTTAAATATTGTATACTATATATTTTTAAAATTTTTCCACACCAATTTAGTAATTCACATATTTTAAAAAAAATAATAAAAATGATTATTTTTAATTAGTTGAGGATGTCCAAAAAGTAATTGCTTCAGCTGAAGGAAAAATAGGTCCAGCTGTACTTCCATATCCGATATCAGATCCTAATGGTTGTACTTCTTTATCATGTCCACTTAAAAAAGGGGGACCCTACAAATATTCGACAAAGATGAAAGTTCAACCTTTCTTTCCACCGGTAAAAGCATTTAATTTCAATAATATAATAATATTATTTATTTTAATAGGTTTAAATTAAAACTGGTTTAAATACAGTTTATCTGGCTCATATAAAAATTATTCTTTATTATAAAAATAATTATTTCCAAGTAACTATTAATTAACTTTAATAATAGGGGTATTTTACGTGAATTAGTACTGTGACTAAATAGTGGATTACTTCAATCAATTTATAAATTTCTTTTCTGTTATTCATATTATTAAAGTAAACAAAAATTATTCATACTCAAATTAATAAAAAAAAAAAAAAAAATGAATATAATTTTGTGAAAAACTTAAAAACAGTATAGTCAAAAAATGGCATATTTAAAGAAATAACTAAAATTTTCCCTAAATATGCAATTTAATAAAATTATTAATTATTAATTTAAAAATTTAAACATTCGAAATAATAATGGAATGGAGAATTAAAATTATAAACAAATTAAATGAATCCATTTTTAAAAAAATTAATAAACAAACAATAATATATTTCTGTATTTTGCAGATTCCAGTTGATGTGATATGGAAACTTAAAGATCAAAAAGGATATATTCTTGCTTGTGTTATAATTCCCGTAAGAATTGAGTAATTAAGTTTTAAATTGTACCAAAAAAAAAAAAAAAAAAAACATGATGCTAAAGAATAAAATAATGAAGTTATTAAATATATACTAGTTTACTTTGTAATAGTTTGTTAATTAATGTCAAGAATTTACAATACAATATTCAGACGTTCTACTGAAAAAAAACTTCCCACTCAGAAATATTTTTATTTTAAAAAAATAAATATAATATTTCATAAAAATTTCTTGATGAGATAGATATATACATTATCTGAATACTCAAATTTTATAAAACATTTGATTATGTGTAGAATATAATTTTTTCAAATATTTGTAATGTATCAATATTTTAATTTGTAATAAATAAAAAATGTTAACTTTAAAATTTAAATTATTATTTCATTTTTTTTTTTACCTAATATTAATTTCAGTTTCCCTTATTTTGCAAAACTATTTTTCACTGATAACAAAACAATAGTAATTGTAATATAACGTTTAACAGACAATGTGTTATATAGCGTTATCATTTTTACGTTGTGTGAGTTTAGAGTCAACAATTTTAATACGTATTTTACTCTTGATCAAGGAACATGAATCGTATTCTTTTGGTAAATTTTCTTTTTACGTTTGCCTTAGGCGTTTTGGCTGATTCTCCAAAATTACAAACATGCAGTAAGTGCAAAAAGAAAAATTCAATTTTTTTTTTCATTTTTTAATAAATAAATAAAATAACATACACACACACATATATATGTTATAAAAGTTTCATTTTTGTTTCAACAGTTATTGTTTTGAAAATAAATTGCATAATATTATATATTAATTTTGCGTTTTTCAAAAAAATACTTGCGAAAATTAAAAATAAATAACAATTTTGTTTACGAAACTTTTTAAATAATTGTTGTAATTGTAATTTCGACCATTGACGTCATAATGTATATATTATACACGTCAGTCTTGAAATTATTTTCAATTGAAAGAAAAAATATTTAAATTTTTGAAAAATAATAAATTATGTAGATTGTCAGTTTTTTTTCTAAAAAATAAAAATATTTTCTAATCCATATTTTCTAAAAAAAAAGCCTTTTCTAATGCAATTAGTTTTCTATAAAAACTTTTTTGAATTCAAAATATTTTTTTTTTTCTAAAAGTTGAATATTTTTAAAAAACATATTTTCAGCACTGTATTCTTCTAACTTTTTACATTTACAATATGTTCTTACTTTTCGATTTTTTGATTATGAAATTATATAATTAAAATATAATTAATATTATAAATATGTTTCATTTTAACAAGATAATTTTGATTTGCATTAAAATATATTTACTTGTGAATGAGAGAAAACAATTTCAATAGTTTGAAAAAAAGTATAATAAAAAAGAAAAAAAAACTATTTGAATTTTATTAGAAAATAAAAATTTAGAAATGAAAATTTAAAAAACATTTTCCGAAAAAGTGTAACCATAATCAAAAATTATTTTAGAATCTACAATTGGACATGTTGAAAAGGCAATTGTTACGGGTAGTCAATTCAAAAATGGAAAATATATTTTAAAGCATGGCACTGAAGTTGGTATTGAAGTCACATTCAATACAGGTAAGTTAATTAAGAAAAACAGATGTCTTAATTATTAAAATAAAATATAAAAAAATTTAGTAAATAAACTATTTTTATTAAATTATTATTATATAATTAAATATTGAAACTTTTCAATATCTTGACTATATTGACGATATAATTACGTCAGTCATAGATTATAATAAAGTGCCAGGAAAATATAAATATAATTTTATTTTTTAAACATTTTATTTCTAGAAAAAAAAGTAAATGATCTTAAAGCTTCTGCTGAAATCACATTAAATGGAATGAATCTGCCCACTAAATTACCAAATTTAAATGGATGTAAAGTTTTGAAATGTCCTCTTAATAAGGGTGGACCATATGTATATAAAATAAATATGCCAGTTTCAAAATTTTATCCAAAGGTACAAATAGACAAATATTAACACTGCAATGAAATTAAATTATTTTCATTTAATTCAATTATTTGCTAAATTAATCAATTAAATAATTTTCATATCATTTTTTCAGATTGAGACAACATCAAAGTTACGATTAAAAAATGAAAAAAATAAAGTTATTGCTTGCGTGATAGTTCCAATTAAAGTTGTTTAATGTAAATGAGACGATTTATTAAATAATAAAGACAAGCTTTGAAAATTTGATATTACTTATATATATTTTTTTTATAAATATCGCTGTTATAATATATATTGTGATCACAGAGCCAAGTATTTTGTTTAAAAAAATTTATTTAAGAACTACTCATATCTCATTAGCACATATGACATTTCTAAACTCACAAAAAATTATTCCCTATTTTTTTTTTACAATTTTAAAAAATTGTAATAATTATTATAAAACAAAAACCTTAAATGATTAATAAATAATAAATAGAATAACTAGTGAGACGATTACAATTTCTTTCTTTTTTTTTTGTTATGAATGAATTTATGAATTTATCCTAATTATCAAATACTATTTAACTAATGATGCGTTAAATATTATGAGTGCGAAAGTACGTGGAAATTTTGTTTATAGAAAAAGCTTTTAAAGCTACAAGATTAGTTCTGTGATGTGGCGTTAAAAAGAGTCATTTTACATTTATCGATTCTAAATTGTAGAAATTCCTAAATATATTTTTGTACACTAAGCGTTTGTTCTTTTTATTTTATTATTACAGAAATACGTACTCGCCTTTAATTCGGTTAGGAAAATGAGTTATTCAAACCGATATGACTGGTATTATTTTTTTTTTAAAAGCGATTTAATGAAATTATGTGTAATATATTTAAATAAAATAAAAAATTAACTTTACGAGAAAGATTTTTTTTTTTTTTTTTTTAATAAAAGAAAAGTCATCACTAATTATAGATAACTTTTATATATTAATATATGTTACTTAACTCTTAGAAAACACATTTTATTTTAGAAACTTTAAATAATTGAAAACGTATAAAAAAAATGTTTAACTATATATATAATAATTTCTACAACACTGCAAAAAGAGTATTCAAAGCTTTTTGTTTTTGAACACAATAAATAGTAATATTTTTAAACTTAACTTTTAAATTTTTCGCGTAAAAGAGAAAAAATAGATTTCAAATATTTGCGAAAAAAGAACAGACTTGTATTAAATAATTTTTTGATTATATTAAAAATAAATTATGATTATCTCTTTAAAAATAAAAGTTAGCAAACCAAGATTGCGCATATTTTTGTAATACACAATATATATATATATATATTGACTGTAAATTTCTTGTTACCTTAATTTACAATATATTATGAAAAATAGGAAGATTTCTTCAGTCTTAAAAATGATAATTTTCGTTCAAAACAAAGACAGAAAGATGTTAACGATTAATAGAGAGATAGAGAGACATAGATAGAGAAAGAGAGACAGAGGCTCTACTTTTTTTCGATAACAGTCAGATTGGTTTGAACTATTAAGAAAGATGTACGAGACACTAACTAATGTGAGTTGTTACACTAGGATAAGTCTTCTGGTAACTTTGGCATTTAATCTGTCTGATATCAACTATCCATTGGTTCAGGTATAAATTCAGCGTCTAATTGATGATAGCTCCTTTTGCATCTTTGCGTTGTTCTACTTTGTTGTCCGTTCTTTAATGTTTTTTGCGCTTGATAAATGGGTTCATATTCCTTTAATTGGGCCATAAAACCTTCGTTTGGATTTATACAGAATCTTCTCTGTTGTACAATTGCGTAGGCTCTCCTAAAAAGAAAAAAAAAAACAAAAATTTATTTTTGAAAAATAAGCAAATTTTTCTAGTACAGTTGAACCTCGATAAGTGAGAATCCAAGGGACCGAAAATTCTTTTTCACTTATAGAGGTTTCTCAGTAAGACAGGTTCTCACTTATTAAGATCGAAGAGCGGGTTTTCTTACTTACATAGGTTATTGTACTGATAGAGGCTTTTTAAGGGTTTTGTTAATTAAAGTTTCACTTTTACGTAATAAGAAATTTCATATAATTATTTATTTAAAAAATTTAATAAAAATTGTTATTGCTTTAAGCTTTATGAAAAAAGTCTGTTATTATTGTTTGTTTTTTAGTTGTGCAATTTTGAATATGATGTTCAAGCTCATAAAATTTGTCAAAAACTGATTCATTAATATTTGTCGAAAATTCAAAAAATCTGTGAATTTTCTGTAGTGCACTGAAAACTTCTTGTTGCTTTGTAATTAAAACTTCAGCTCTTTCCACTGTCAAATTCTTTTACAATTTTTAGTTTTTTACTTAATGAAAAGAGATTTAAGCTTACTCTTCGACATTTTGAATATTAGAAATAAAGTAATTCGCAAACGCTTCTTATTACAATTGTCTTGAAACTAAATTTTATTTTGTGTGATAGGTATAATTTTAGTTTGAACAGAGATCCTTTGTTCTTACACGTCCATTCAAATTTTAATTACTGTTTATTAATTTCATATTGACTTTTAAAAAATTATATTATAGAAAAGATTCTCAGTTATAGAGGTCTGAATAGCGCGCTTCTCTCACTTATAGAGATTTCTCAGTTAGACAAGTCTCAGTTATGGAGGTTCGACTGTACTTTATTTTTATATTATTTATTAATTCATTAAAGATCAAATTTGTACTAAAAAATAGGGATTTTTAAAAAAGTTTGTCAAAAAAACTAACTGATATTTTTTGTCTGAAAAAAAAAAAAAAAAAAATTGTAATTTAAAAAAAAAATTCATACACATGTGTCAAGCCATAAGTTTCCATAACGTAAGCAAGAACTAGAGCTGCGGATCTCGATATTCCTGCATTTCCATGTACTAGAACTTGACCACCGGATAGTAAACTTTCATCGATGAATGTTTTCACTTTTTGAAAATGTTGAATTATGTTTTCCGTTGCAACATCAGCGATATTTAAAACTAAGTATCTGTAAAATAAATTATCATTAAATTAATTGTACAATTTTTTTCCTAATAATATTAATAACAATAACAATAATAATTGAAAAAAAATTTAATTAAAAATTCCGAAATAAAAAATACAAGTTTCACGTACTTAAATCTATCTGGAAAATTGGGTTTTATGAAATAAGCTTCAATATCTTGTCGAACACATACAATATGTGTAATACCGCAATCCAATAAAGATTGCAAATTTGAGCGACTTGCAGCACTGTAAGGGCCGAGATACAAGCCAGGAACAACTTCCTGAAAAATGAAAATTATTTTCCAATTAAAAATGTTATTAAAAATTTTTTAATTATTAAAATAAATAAACTGATAATCACCATATCAAGACAAATTTATTCTATCAATTTGCATGAGACAAGTTTTGAAGGTTCAATTGAACGAATTTTTTTTTGTTCAATTTCTTTAAGTACGAATTTTATTACAAAATATTGTTTTAAATATCTAAAAAGAAGTTACTTATTTAATAATTGTTTAATTTACTGTTTAATTTTACATTGCCATCATTATTTTTAATAATTTACAGATTAAAAAAAATATTTCATTCATTTGAACGTTCAGAACTTTTGGCTCATCAATTTGCTTTATTAAACTAAAATTAAGAATTTATATGTTTTAAATACATTATAAGGTTCAATAAAGTTTTATTAATAAAAATAAATATTTTTTTTCGTAATTCTATAAAATATATTATAAAATTTTATGAATTACTACAAATTTCCGTGGTTTCTCCCACCACGATAAATTATATTTATGATGTATTCCACGCCAAAGTGTAAGTCCATCTGCAATTGCATCTCCGATTTTTTTGAGATTTTTTTTTCTTTTACATAGTACTAATTGAGACTAGCTTCCATGAATTTTTTCAAATTTTTTTAACAAGCAGTTTTCGAGTTATGGAATTTTGAAAATTGGAGAATTATCATGACTTTTAATTTTTGAATGCTCATAAGTTTCTTAAACAAGTTGTAAATTCAGATGTTCATTACATGAACATTTTGCTTCCTCTTTACAATCAGCAAAAAAATTTGCATCCTCGTGGAGATTCAAAATGGCGTCCTTACTGTACCATGTTTTGCAAATTTTTTTACTAACTCAGCAAACAAATGTATTAATTACCTTGAGAAAATAATTGCAACTTGTTGGATAATGTGTCACTTTTATGTTTTTGGCGTCGCTGATTACGAATCTGAAGTCAGATTTTAAAATTTTTTAAAATTCAAGATGGCGGATCCAATATGGCGGACATTTTTATTAAAATTTGATCAGATTCGCTTGAAACTTGCTACTCGGGGGTTTTTGGGGTCGCTGATTACGAATATAAAGTCAGATTTAAAAAATTCAAAATGGCGGATCCAATATGTCGACCAAATTTTTTTGAAAAATAATCAGATTTGCTTGAAACTTATTATTCGTGGGTTTTTGGAGTCGCTCATTACGAATCTAAAGTCAGATTTTAAAAATGTTCAAAATTCAAAATGGTGGATCCAATATGACGACCAAAATTTTTTTAAAATTATCAGATTTGCTTGAAACTTGTTACTCCGGGATTTTTGGGGTCGGTGATTACGAATTTGAATCTGGATTTTATAAAATAAGGTTGGTGGTTCCAAAATGGCTAATAAAATATTTAAAAATTGGATGGATTCGCCACCCTTAACTCCATAAACCACCCCTTTCACATTATTCAATTAGTTGTTTTAAATTTTTCTTCCATACAAATTTAGGCTTTATTTAAAGGATCTTAAATATCATAAAAGTAATTTTTCAAATTACTACCCGTAATCCCCAAAAATACCCCTTAATATAGAAATTTAATATTTTTTAAATTTTACTCTACATAAATCTTTTATAATTTTAGCTAATTTGAGGCTTTTAAATAGCCTTAAATTAAATTTTGAAAAATCTACCCTTAACTCCAAGAACCTCGTCCTTTAAATATTTAAATTACTTTTTTTAAAATTTTTCCTTTCCTTTATAAAAATTTTTTTTATATCATTTTTTTACAATTTAAGCACAACTGAAACTTTCAAATATTCTCAAATTGAATTTCAAAAACTGTCCTTAACTCTAAAAACCTTAACCTCAAAAATCAGCCTCATTACTTTTAAGTTTATAAATGCAAACAAATTTTACAATTTCATCCGCCATATTGGCTCCATCATTTTGAATTTTTAACAACTTTTACATCAGAATCGTGTTATGTGACCTGATTTTTAAAAGTTGACGTAAGATTCGTAATGAGCGACTCCAAAAACCCACGAATAATAAGTTTCAAGCAAATCTGATTATTTTTCAAAAAAATTTGGTCGACATATTGGATCCGCCATTTTGAATTTTTTAAATCTGACTTTATATTCGTAATCAGCGACCCCAAAAACCCCCGAGTAGCAAGTTTCAAGCGAATCTGATCAAATTTTAATAAAAATGTCCGCCATATTGGATCCGCCATCTTGAATTTTAAAAAATTTTAAAATCTGACTTCAGATTCGTAATCAGCGACGCCAAAAACATAAAAGTGACACATTATCCAACAAGTTGCAATTATTTTCTCAAGGTAATTAATACATTTGTTTGCTGAGTTAGTAAAAAAATTTGCAAACATGGTACAGTAAAGACGCCATTTTGAATTTTTTAATTCGCCACTTTTTATTCGAAGCAGTATTAACTGACGATTATTTTGAGCCGTAATAAGTTGATTTTCGTTGATTAGAATTTTGGATGGAGTTCTGGGCCGGTTGACGTGAAACGTTACGGGCAATGTCGACATTGCCCTCGGTCACGCTAATTTCGGTCAATGTCCGAAATTATTCATATTATGTGGCTTTTCCGGGCAATGTCGTATATTTTTGAGTATATAGCCTATGTAGCGAATAATTTTTTAATAAAAATAATTTTTGATATGAATGAATATCTGATTAACTGTCAGAAGTTAATAATTTGGTAATATAAATAAAGTTATATATAAGTATATGTGACGCGCTCTGAAGAAAGGGAAAAATTGGAAATTGTTTTTAAACGATATTAGTATCAAATTTTTGAGTTTTAATGATAAAAATTTATTTTTCTCATTTGACGTACTGATCGATTTTTTTCAAAATTTTTTCAAAAAAACTTCTTTTTACGAAACTTTTAAGCCTAGCCCGATAATGGGCAAACAATTTTTACAATAATTTCAGAATTTTTCAAAAATTTTTGAAGTTTTTAAAAATATTTTTGGTTTCTTTTTATACTACGTACTTTTATGTATTTTGATGCGTTGATTACGAAAATTATAGTGACAATACTCAAAAATTTGATTTTTATGGTGAAAACTATAAAAAAAAGTCCTAAAAATTATGGTTTTTTTCTTTTATTAGGTAAAATATGCTGCAAAATTAAAAAAAAATGGTGATACAAAAGTTATAGATCTTATTAAAATACATTTTTTATAACTAAAGTATTTTTTTTAATTTTGCATATTTTACCTAATAAACGAAAAAAACCATAACTTAAAAGTTTCGTAAAAAGAAGTTTTTTTGAAAAAATTTTGAAAAAAATCGATCAGTACGTCAAATGAGAAAAATGAATTTTTATCATTAAAACTAAAAAATTTGATACTAATATCGTTTAAAAACAATTTCAATTTTTTTTGAAAAGTACGTTTAAAAACACACATTTTGAAAAAAAGACTTTTAAAATTGATGCATTTTTAAGGAAGTTATGAGCATTCAAAAATTAAAAGTCATGAAAATTCCCCAATTTTCAAAATTCCATAACTCGAAAACGGCTTGCTAAAAAAATTTGAAAAAATTCATGGAAGCTAGTCTCAATTAGTACTAAAAGAAAAAAAATTTGAGATGCAATTGCAGATGGACTTACACTTTGTCATGGAATGCATTATATATTTTGAAAATAATTAAAAATTTGTAAATTATCATCACCTGCATACTTCTTCTCATTGTGTAAGTCCATTCTTTAGGAACATCGTAAGCAGAAGGAATACTTGGATAAAGTTGAGGATTTTGTTCATTGTTTTCTTGAATCTAAATGCAATGAAAGCAGAAAAATAGAATTCCAAAATATTGTAAATTTAATAATATATACTATCTTTAATATACTTATCCTTTTGTTTATATATTCACAGCCATTTTGATTAAAAGTAACGGTTTTATATTCTAAATCACATGAAACTTTCAAAACATATTCAATCAATTCACTTCATATTATATATATACATATTTTTTTTTCCAAAACATTTACACAATTAAAATTTTTTCAATGTAAATGATAAAATAACGTAAAAAAAGTAAAAACAAATTAATTTTATACCCTATAAACTCGTTAGGAGAAAAAAAAATGCCAAATATTTTCTAATTTAGAAAATTCGTAATAAATTATTTATAAATAACAATTCGTTATTTCAAAAAAAATTTTGACTATATACTCACAATTATACAATTTACAGAAACATTAAACACAGTTAAATTATAATAAATAGAAAAATAAATGTAATCATAACCTTAAAATTGACAAGCACGTTATCAAATTAATTATTCAGATAATATTAATATTTACCTCCTTGTGATGAGTTCTATTATTATCAATAGATATCATTCCGATAATTTTACCACAGATTTATTAATAAACAATATTAATATAAAATACAACCGGAGATATTCTTTCACTTTTTTTTCAACACTCGGATAAATTTTCTGACATTGCGACCATTTGCAAATTAGGGATTAACTTGAAAGATAAGATAAACGTTCACTGCGCCATCTGCATTTATCTACACCAACCCTTTTTGCCGTCGCGGTAATATTTGAATTTTGTGATTCTTTTATTATTTAATTATCGAGTTTTTATTTACTTATTGAAAAAAGCATTTTTTTTTAAATAAAAGAAAAAAACTTATTCCTTTTGTTTAAAAATTCTTTATAATAATTATTAATAAAAATATAGTTAAAAATTTTGTAAAAAAAAAAAAAATTCATAAATATTTCATTTGAATGATTAATTGTAATTTTATAATAATATTTTTTATGTTGAAAAATTTTTTTGAGATTATTTTGATATATTTTACGAACTTGATATTAAATATATTTATGTTGTCAACAAATTGTATTGCACAAGTGTTGTTGTTTTTCTATATAATGATCCATAAAGGACACACCTTATTTGCCAATATTCAGGAGTTTGGTTTTAAATACATATAAATATATGTAAGATATCGATAATTTCATGAAACGATGTAGCACACTTGTTTCTATTATGAACAATAAATTTTCATCAACTTTCTTTTATTTCATAACATTATCGAAATAATTGTAAATTTTAATAAATATAGCTGGGTATTTAAAATGTGTTTTGAATTTTTTTTAGATAAAAAAAAAAAATTTTATAGCTTATATCGATTATTTATCATAACTATAAAAAAAATTTGTATTTTTAAGTCACAAGTATATACTTGTGCAGCATTTGTGTTTGAAAAATACAAATTTCATAATACAAATTTTTGAATATTTTCAAACATATTTTGTATGAAAGTGTTGTAAATTTACAATTTTTTAATAATAATAATAATAATCTTTATTTAACATTAATAAATTATTATTATAACTATTATTACTGAATACTATTATTTGTAATAATAAAAATGATAATAATAATAATAATTTATTTATTTGAATAATAATACGTCATTATTTATCACAACTATAATGTTAAAGTATTAATAAACAAGAAACATAAAATTATTTACAATAAAATTATATTTAAAATAAAGATTTCCCGCTCTTTAAAATTTTTATTCAGAAAAATTTCAACAGTTCACACATGTGGTATTAATATTTAAATTTTTTAACGATGCAATTAAGACTAAGTACTAATGGTTTACGATATACCTTGCTCCACTTTAAAAAGTTTATTCTTTAAATGTAAAAAAATGGATGAAAAAAGGTTTTGAGTTTTTTTTTACATTAATTTTTAATAGACATAGATTTTTATCTGCATGGATTAATTTAATAGAAAAAAGTAATATATATTATATAGTCAAATAATAAGAAATAATTATATACATATTTTTTTTTTCAAATAAAAAATTGTGTTTTAGTGCAATATAATATTTTTGAATTATTATATTGACATAAAAATAAAAGAACATTCCTATCGAGTTTAAAAAGTCAATTCATATTTCTGTGGGTATACAAACTTTTCAACTTGGATGCTATTAGCAAATTGTGGCCCCTTTCTAAAAATAATTGGTGTTCTGAAAATCGCATTGTCGTATAACGACTCATTTGAAAGATATATTGTTGCATAACCATCTTTTGTTTTATTTTTTTTCAATGTGCGGGTTCTCCTTCCTTTGAAAATAAAATAATTTTCATTGTTTTTGTTTTGTAGTGTTGAAATTTAATTTAAAAAATAATTTTTTGATTATTTAAATTTTCTAATTTGTAAATATTTTGAAAATTATAAAATTAAATCTAAGTTTTTTAAGTTTTGATTCCTAAATATGGTTCATATGTGAAGTCAATAAACGACAAGTATATTTGTATTTTTTTTTTTTTTTTTTTTTTAATATTTTTAAAGGAAATTAAAGACAGTTTATGCAATAAAAGCGAGTGATTATATGTTATAGATTCGATCATCTATTTCAAATAGCAGTGTTGCTTTCCTTTGCCACAACTGATATCGAACAAAAAAAAAAAAAATATGAAATATGCATAATAATTATTACTCAATTTTTAATGATTGTATTGAGTTTTTTTTGTTTTTGAAATTTAATGTATATTTTATTATATTAATATATTATAAAAAAAAAATTATAAAATATAATAAAATTTTAGGTAAAAATAAAAATTTGAATATTAATAAATAATTAATTAAGAATTTATACTAACTCTTTATTACCTAGAAAAAATTTTTTATTTGAACAAAATAAAATTTTTTAATTTTCTTTCTCATGTATCTTTCATTAAGGTTATATATTTATTTTTTCTCTGATTTTCAAAGTGATTAAATTTTTATAAATTCGAGCATTTTTGAAAGGAAATACTGTGTAATTTTAATATATAAAGCATATTCAATTTTGCAATAGAAGGAAAAATTATTTGCAATTCCAATTTCTATATATATTTAAGTTTTTCCTCTATATTATAAAATTAGCTTAAGAATTATTGTAATTAATATTTATATCCGTTGAATTTTTCATTTAAATAACTGATATACTATTATAATTCGCAAGTTTTATTAAAAATTTTTTTGATAATATTAGCATAAGCGAAGGTTGAAAATGCAAATTCTAATATAGAGTGGTATTTAAAGTATATATCGCATAATTGTAAATTATACTCTTAAGAATTTCAATTAAATAAACCTTTTACATTCCTTTCCGTAGTTTTTTTTTTTTTGTATATATTTAATATTTATTTTTTTATCTACGACTATAAATAAATTCTGAATTAAAAATAGTGTTTCGGGTTTCGGTATCATATTGATACAAAGTTTATTGTCTAAATTATTATATTGTATAACCGGTGATAATGTTAATTTGTATAACTATTAAAATTCAAAATGTTATTTTGTACTATTGTTATAATTTTATGTTTACAAATAAATTAACTTTTAATTTTCAGTTGTACACAAAAAAAAAACCTAATCTTTATTTAAACAATATAACAATTTTCACAAAAACATTTGTGTCAAAATGATACCCATCCACTGAAAAAAAATTTTGTTTAATTCAAATACTCGATTACTTGACTATTATTAAATAAATATTTATTTGTATTAAATAATTATTCTTTGAGATGGTATTTGTTTCAAAATACAGTAATTATTTGTTTAAATACAATTTTATTTAATTAAAGTTAAAATTATTTGGTTCAAGTAAATATTTATTTGATAATAGTCAAGTAATCGAGTATTTGAATTAAATGAATTTTTTTATAAATAAAAACAAAAAAAAAATAAAATAAAATAATTGAAAAAATTTACGTAGATATTGATTCGTTTTTATTCGATTTTCCTTTTAACATAATAAATAAAACAATGTGTTACTAATAATGATATTTTTAACAAATTTTACTTCGAATAAAACAAATGGGGGGGTTTTTTTTTGCACAATGGAGAATTGAAAATTGCGTAAAAGAAATGGTATCGTATATTTATATATTATAAATATATGTAAAATCACTTTACAAGGTGTTGCAAATTTTGTTGTGAACTGGTGAATTTTACGACGTTTCTATGTTACGGTAACTATCGTATTTCTTCCGGGGCGTAATGAAGGTATCTCTATATAGTTTGCGCTTTCGCAACGAGAGTATTTACAGCGAGCGAGCAATGTTTCACTATATACATTTCTGCGCTTGAATGGTGCAATTTTATACATAGTAATATATAGAACTGTAGAAATAACATAGAGTGAAGACCAAAGGAATCGATTGTAATGCGACTAGACAGGCCAACACCATTACACAACTTACATCATTCGAATAAATACCTAACAAATTTACTCCAAGTCTATATTGTCATTTTTACAATGAATTTTGTAAAAAAAATTATTTATTTTTTTTTTAAATAAAAATTATTTGTTCACTGTTATTGGATTGATATTTATTTATTTTATATATATATATGTATTTATTCAGTATAAATGGTTTACCGATTGACATCGCGGTTAAATTCGTTAAAGTTACTTATTTTAAAAGTTTAGATTTTACATCGAAAATTGCTTAAAATCAGAAAAGTCACTTTATCTAATAAGAATATAATATATTGTATTAATATAAAATTCACTTTAATTAACAATGTTTTATACATTATTTATTACATATATTAATTAGAATTTAGTTGTAAATTTTTGTACGATTTGAAAAATTGTAGTTAGGATGTTAAAATGTTTTTTTTTTTTTTTTATTTAAAAATCCACAATTATTTTTCAAAAAATCATAATGTTTTTTAATCATAAACATCCTAAATTATTTTCAATTATATTATGTTAGAATATATAATAAAATACATTTTATTACATTAATATTTATAAAAATATTTTTCTTGATTAATAATAATTAATATATACATATATTCATCGTTCCCATATTAAAATTTTAACCGTGCACTATTAATTTTTTTTTAAAAATGTGTAAATTCACGTCTATCCTGGTCAGGAAACTATAACAAAATAAACCTGTTTGATCAACGTTCGAGTCATTTTATAGACTCTGTTGGTACTTAGTTCATTTTTTGGTTCTCTTTTTTTTTTTTTTGAAAAGTTATTTAGTGATAGGATTTTTACCATAAGGGCTCATATTTCTCTTATTTCTCACTAAAACTTAAATTTTCTGTCGTATATCAAGTGAAGGGTAACAAAAGAACTTGTGGAAAAAAATATACAGTTCATTTTAAATCTAATATTATTAAAAATTATATTTTCATTATGAAAGGAAACTTAATTAAAAACCATCCATACTTTTTCTATTATTATAATTTTTATTATTATTATTATTATTATTATTGACTGCGGGGAGTGTATACACTCTAAATCTGAATCAGTGAAAATTTCACTGAATTCAAATTAGTGGCTCAGTTTTCTTTAATTCACCAGTAGTGAGCCACTGATTGAATTCAGTGAAATTTTCACTGATTCAGATTTAGAGTGTAAAAAAAATAAATAATTAATTACTTATTATTATCATCATTATTATAATCAACCTAATTCTATTTTTATTTAATTAAT